TTCAGCTCCTCGGAACGCGGTGAAATAGCGGGGACGGCCGTAGGGCCTTTCCTGAGCGTTTGGGCGTCGCATTTCCCTTCTGATTTAGCAGGGAACGAAATAGAAACCGAAACGTTGGGGTGGAAATCCAGGCTCGCTGTTCAGCGAGACCCGCACAAAAGACACGATTCCGAATTCTTCTTCAGCAGTTTCCTGGCTCAGGAGCAGAAATACGAGGATAGATCAGTGGGCAGGGTTGTTGTGGAAGTTTTTCTTTGATTAAACCTCTCTGCCGAGCCCAGTGGCTGATAAGGAGTCACCTCACAAATTACGTCTCGAATTCAAGCAGCTAAAGAAATTAACTTTTTGTGTAGTTGTTTTTCCCCAAGAGAAATCAGAATCGAGACAATTTCTTGCAACATCAGCCTGGCTTGTTTGTTCTGTGCAGTTCAGTCGCTGCTGTTGGACTTTGTTGCTTTGCCAGGCTTTTGGGTACCTGGGATCGGGCAGGGCAGAGAGCAGCTGTGGGTTCAGCAAACAAAATGTTATAAAATTAATGTAGGTGTTTTCAAGGTGGATTTCTTGGAAGGGGGATGATCCGTGTAGAAATGATGCTGCAGGAGGGAGGACTGAGCTCCAGGTGCCTCAGATCCTTTTGATGCTTTTGTCTTTGGTTTCAAGACAGAAAATGGGCATCTTAAAATGAGGTGAATTGGGAAATTTTGGGGTAAAATGAGGTGAATTGGGGAATTTTGAGCAGTGTTGTTACTGCTGGGGCTCTGAGCAGCCTGCTCTGTGGAGGGTGTCCCTTCCAACCAAACCATTCTGTTCCATTATCCTGGAACAGGATCTGTCAGGTATAAAAAAAGTTTGACTGCTTTCCAAAGCACTGTTTGACTTCTCAGAGCCAAGCTATTTTCAGGAAGAAACTTTTATCTTCTCAGACTAATTTATTAACTTGATCCCTGGCGATAACTTGTTTGTGTTATGCCAGATTTGCTTTTCCCATAAGGAAATAAATCCACCTGGATTTTATCTGAATGCAGTGTCACTTTTACATGTTAAATACATTAATATCCAGGCCTGGCTGGGCCTTTCTCTACTCACTTCAAGCCATGAATTCATTGAAATCTTTCTCAGCATTATCTTTTTGTTGTGAACAACTGCTTGGATTTGTTGTCGGTGAGTTTCTGCTCAGTAACCTCAGCGACTTTCTCCCAGCAAAAAGGACATTCCTGCAGTCAATTTCATCATCCATGAAATCCACTGCAGAAGAAACATTGAAATGTGCCCCTACTGCAGCGACTCCATCCCAAAGTCTGAGATGAAGAACCACATTGAGTCTGAGCACGTGCAGGTGAGAGACATCTCTGCTCTGGGGCTGCTCCTTCCTCTGGGAATGCTTCTCATGGGCTCTCTCTGCTCTAGGTCACCTGCAAGTGCAGGATGAAGATGGAGAGCAGCCTCCTGAAGGATCATGAGGTTGGTGGATTTTGTGTTATTGAGCCCTTGGGGGATGCTCTGGTGTTTCACGGATTATTCCAGAGCTTTTCTGTCAGCCTGGGGTTTGTGCAGCCTTTATGGAGTGATGCTCCCAAACTCACACCCTCTGGGAGAAACTGCCCTAAAATCCTGGAGTCACTCAGGGCTTCATATCAAAGGGGTATCTGTGATAGTTGGTGATTTTTTGTCCTTGCCAGTTGAAAAATGGCTATTTAAAGTATGATTGACTTGACTTTTTTCATTCTTTTCCTGTTTCATGTTTCTGCTGGAGCCATTATGTGACTTTTAATAACTCAATCTGTCCAAACAGACTTTAAAAATAGCCTGTAAAATAAACTAAAATAGGCCAGAGTGGGATTTTCTGAGTTCTGAATCCAGTTGGCTGCTGTCACAGACAATCTTGTTATAAATGTCATCTCTTCCTTTCCTGTGGGCTCCTTTAGAGACAGCTCTGGAGCTGCCACCTCAGCCTGCTGATTGCTGAGGGAAAAAGGATTTTCTTTGGAAATCTGTCCAGTTCTAAACCCTGGGAGTAGCTAATCCTGCCTCTGTGTGTGTGTGTGTGTGGTGCTTTTGGATTATAAAGCAAATGATGATAATTTATTAGTGCAGCATCTGCAAATATCACATATTTTATCTGTTTTTAACCCCTTTTGAAGGGGGTTCACTGTGGGTAAAGAACATGTCCAAGCAGTTCTTGTTGAGCAGTAAATGCAGTGTAAGTCTGTTCCCTAAAAACCAGTGTGGATTTTAGCTGTGCTGTGGAATACAACTGGATTTTGGGTTGTATCTAAAACACCAAAGAGCCTGGACAGTCTGCCCACCTTGGAGGAACAGAGCTGTCCAACACCTTCTGTGACTCTCCAGGGTTCTTTAGCACATCAAAATAGGAATAAAATTTGAGGGGAGGGGAAAAGGAAAATCCAGAAAGCTCCATGTGACCCTGGCAGATTTAGATTCATATCCTGAGCACCTGGAGAGCTCCAGCTGCTGGGTTTGTGCCTCCCACGCTGTAGCTCACTGCAGGTTGTTCTTGGTGTGGCAGAGGACACAGCAGAGCTCCAAAGCTGAGGAAGCTCCGTGTGTTCCCCCCGTGTGTTTCCCCAGGCGTCCTCGTGCCCGCTGCGGCCCGTGCTGTGCCAGTTCTGTGACATCCAGCTGGCCTTCAACAAGCTCCAGGAGCACGAGCTCTACTGCGGGGCCAG